CAGTTTTCTCTTTTATGGCAATATGGTAGCTGTTGGTGATGTTTGGGCCTAGAACTTGCTGCCCACTCTCTGGCTCCATGTGTTTGGACCCACCTCCAGCCTTGAGTAAGTGACAGAGGACAAGGTGGTTGGGAGAGGCCAGGAGAGCCTGCCTGTAGCTCAGATTCCTTTTGTAGAGCCAGGAGAGCCCCGGTGCCCCGCCACCCATACCACCTTTCCTCTCCCTCCTGGTGAGCATCTTGACTGCTGCTGTAGTCTTCAGATTGGCGGACAGGATGGAAGTCAACAAAGTCATAGACTCGCAAGGGAGATTGGTGTGTTGGGCAGATGACCCCTTTGGAGATGGGGCCTGTCTTTCCTCTGTTCACTCCATCTGTTCTGTACCTGGCTCTATTGTTTGGTTCTGATCCATGGGATTTCATGCCAAGCAGCAATTCAGAAAGGAAGTGACCAAACAAAAACTATTCATTATGCCATTAGCAGACTTATGGGTTACTTCATACATTGTATGAATGATATTAGATGAATTACAGTGATAACACATCATTTTCAGAAATTTCGAAGTAATTATGAGATAAATTTTACTAATCATGGTTTGTTATTTGTATTTTTCTGCTTACTAGACTAATATGTGCTCATTAAAGTGTGTAAAATGGTGCTCCGTGTTTACTCAAGAGGAAGCACAGCTTCCGGGTTGCTCACCATGTCCCATGGCTTGCTTCTGTCCTCCACACTTGCAGAAGTGTGGGCACTTCACACTGTTACCTGACAGTCAATTGGAAGCAGATTTTGGAGGTTTCGGCACATATACACACATCTGTTTCCTTCTGGAAGGTAGCTGTCATCCCAGTGTGTGGCCACCCTGGCACACATTGCACCATTCCCCAGTGGTAGGTAGTGTGGATTTCTAGCATGTTCCATTACCTGTAGTGCCATAGTGATTAGTTCAGGCCCTGTCTTGGATCTTGGTGAGAACTGCTCTTATATTCCTGGAGATGGAATTCTTGGGTCAGAGTGGGAACATTTAAAGTCATAATTTGCCACCAATTAAGCTTGCCCCAAAAGCTCTTACCAACTTGTTATTATCTTTCCAGTTCTGAAATATTTTTTTATTGTGTTCTCTCCCCCCACCCCCCAAGACAGGGTTTCCCTGTGTTGTTTTGGTGCCTGTCCTGGATCTTGCTTTGTAGCCCAGGCTGGCTCCGAACTCAGATCCACCTGGTTCTGCCTCCTGAGTGCTAGAATTAAAGGCGTGGGCCACCGCCGCCTGGCCTGTTATTTTTTTTGAGATAGCATCTCACTGTATAGCTCTAAATGTCCTGGAACTCACTATATAGATTAGGCTGCCCACGATCTCATAGAAATCCACCTGCCTCTGCCACCGTGCCCAACTTTGTGTTATTAGTTTTTAACTTTGCCAGGCTAGGAGCTGGAGAGATGGCTTGCCAGTGAAGAGCACCTGCTGTCCTTGTAAGGACCTCTGTTTGGTTCCCAGCACCCCATCATGTTAGGTGGTTCACAACTGTATTACATCCAGTTCCAGAAGGATCTGATGCCTCTGCTTTCTTTGGACACCTGGCAGTCATGCATACCCCACTCCCAGAGACCTAATGACCTTGAATCCCAGCAGTCCGGAAGCAAGATCTCGAGTTTCAGGACAGCCAGAGCTACATAGAGCCCCTGTCTCAAAGACAAAACAAAAATCATTTTTCCTATAGAGTCAATTTGTGGGTGATACATTTTTATGTTCATGCAGATCTTTTTTGTTTTTTCTTCCATTTCTTTAAGGGAGTTTTTCATTTCCTCTTTAAGGACCTCTATCATCTTCATAAAGTCATTTTTAAGATTGCATTCTTCTGCTTCTTCTGCCTTGGTATGTTCAGGTCTGCAGGTGTAGAATCGTTAGGTTCTGATGGTGTCATGTAGGTCTGTATGTTGTTGCCTGTATTTTTGCACTGACGTCTACTCATCTCTTCCTCTGCTCGGTGCAGGCAGTGTCTGTGTCTGAGGGTGCCTCTCTTGTTCTCTCTTGATAGTCTTGGTCCACTAGGAGTTCTTGGTTAAATCAGTGCTGTTGGACTCCAGGAGCATCTTAGTCCAGTTAGTGGGTTCTGTCTCAGGGAGCAGCTGTTCCCAATTGGTGCAGGGTGGGCTTATGGCTCCAGTGGTTGTTGGTGTCTCATGGGACGGTTTTCTTGGTGTGGGGGCAGGGAAGGAGGCCGCTGTCTGGTCTCTGGGGCACCAATGCTGTTCCCAGTTGGTGTAGGGTGGGCTTATGACTCCAGTGGTTGTTGGGTTCACAGGGCTGGTTTTCTCTTTTGGTGAGGGATCAGGGAAAGGTAGCTGCCTGGTCCCTGAGGCTCCGATGGCTGGGGCCTAGGGGCTAGAGACCTGGTCTGCCCGTCCAGAGATGGGGCCTTACCTGTTCCCAGTCGGTGTAGGATGGGCTTATGACTCTGGTGATCTGGTTCAGTGGCTGGATGGCTCCTTCTCTTGCGTTCTTGGGTCGCATTTTGCTCACTCGCCAACTCCTCAGCTGATCTTGTTTCCTCAGACTGCAGGCTGTAGGCTTCTGAAACCTCTCCCGAATGGATCTCAGCTGTACACATTGATCAGTAGAGCAATCTCACCAACGCCTCCAAGTTGTTGGGCTTCGAAGGATTGGCAGCTGGGCCCCAGGTTGGCCTTGGGCAGAATGTTGGGGTCCATTCTGGTTGAGTCCCATGGAGACGGCTCCTTTCCCCACCTCCACCCCCCGCCCCCCAAGTGCCACAGAGATTCCAGGCCTAGTGGTCCATGCCTTCGATCCCAACCCTGGGAAGATAGGGGCTGGTCGTTCATGCAAATCTTAAGATGCCTGATGTGTTAGTGCTACCTGTTATCCTAGCCAGTGTAGTATCCCCTGAGCCCAGAATTCAGAGATTTAGCCTACGCAACAGTAAGATCACTTTTCCATCAAAAGAAAGAACAACCGTGTTTAGATGGTCTTTTGGATGTGAGAGATTTTGCACCCATAAAAGTGAAGTGTGACGGGTGTGTGTATATGGGCCAGAGTTCCAGCCCTTGAATGAGGGTGAAAAGGAAAGCAGGTGTGTGAGATGAATTCAAGGTCCACCTTGGATGGGTAGTGCACCAGACAGCAAGGTTTGTATATATGCACGTGGGCACTGTGATATTTCAGAAAAGGGGAACGGGAGTGAGGAGGCACAAAGCACGATGGAGCAATAGTTAATACTGCTGTGACCCAAATGATAACACTGAAAATGAAGAACATAGCCTATACAAGGCAGACAGCCAGGCAGTGGTGGCGCACGCCTTTAATCCCAGCACTTGGGAGGCAGAGGCAGGTGCATCTCTGTGAGTTCAAGGCCTGGTTTCAGCAAGTTCTAGGATAGCCAAAGTTATACAAAAACCCCGTCTTGAGGGGGAAAAGGCTAGGCAGATAGTCTGTGCACTAATAATGGAACAAAAATGGCCCTCATCCCAAGCCCCAGCTGGTTCTACGGCCACTCTAGTGTCAGTCCCTGATAGCTGATTGGTTCTGTCTCTACACGTAAAACTCTAATGTAGCCTCTCCACATTGGTCCCCTATCTTAACAGAAAGGACGGTCTTTCATCCCTAGACTTAGATGTAGCTAGAGTTTTCCTGCCTTGCCCACAGTCAGCACAAATCTTTGTCACCCACCAGTCCCACAGCTGCTCAGACCCAACCAAGTAAACACAGAGACTTCTATTAGTTACACTTAGAAGCCTTCACCATTAACAGAAGAGTTAACCAGAGTGCAAAACCCCATGGACTAAGATACCAAGGAAGTGTCTGTTAATATTTGGTTAAATGGCATACATCCTTAACCTCCCGAAGAGTATAGGAATGAGTTACAGCAGCTGTAAAAAGTAATCTAATAAGCTGGTGGTGGTGGTGCACGCTTTTAATCCCAGCACTCAGGAGGCAGAGGCCGGTGGATCTCTTAGTTCAAGGCCAGCCTGGTCTACAGAATGAGTTCCATGACAGCCAGGAATGTTAAACAGAGAAACCCTGTCTCGGGGAAGAAAAAGAAAAGAAAAAGCTAACAATGGAATTAAAAAAAAAAAAAAAAAAAAAAAAAAAAACCTTACATTTCAATAAGGGAAACCAGAAAGCTTGAAAAAATCCAACTACAAAACTGTTAGATATCTAAGATGTAACAGTATATTAAAAACCTACTCTTTGTAGGGGTTTTTTAATTTAGTTCTGAGATCCATTTTGACTCCTGTTTTAGTAATTTTTCCCCAGCTTTCCAGGTACCTTACTGAGGTTGAAGCATTTATCCTTAAGCATTATTTATCTTAGTGATTTCGAAGCCGAGAGAGGCACTATATGCCCAGCAGTTCTCCCAGAGAACTCTGCTTCTGTATGACACCGTGTTACACTGGCAGAAAGATGTGGGTCCATGTAGTGTGACTGGAGTCAGCAGGAAATGCCAAAGACAGGAGAACTCCAGGGAGGAGCCCACCCCATGGGGAAAGGACAGCTTTATGGCCAGCATGAGCCTCCAGTAGAGGCTCTGCGTTTACGAAAGGCCGTTTCGGGTGAGCCAGGAATTCTTCCCAAGTCTTTTCCTCTTTTAGAGGAATCTGAAGAGGGGACAATGAGTTGATTTGTGCTCGCTTTTTTTTTTTTTTTTCTTTTTCTTTTTTTCTTTTTCTTTTGAGAAAGATTCTCAGGTAGCCCAGGCTGGCCTTAAACTTCCCATGTATCTGAGGTTAGCCTGTAAGTTATTTTCCTGCCTCAGCCTCCCAACTGCTGGGATTAAAAGCGCCGGCCGCCACACCTGGTGCAATAAATTGATTTTTAAAACGTAATACTTATAGTCCTTTGGGAGACTTCCAAGAGCAGAGACCATGAACCAGGCTAATGTGTAAGAGAGTATCAGAATTGTTTTCTTCTCCCAAACATCCTTACCAGTATAGCACCTCCTAAGATACACCTAAGACAGTACAGCTCAGAACAGATGAGTGACTCCATGGGGTTTGTTCTTTTTAATTCAGAAAAAGAAATGGAAGGAAAAATTTAAATGTTTAAATAACTATAGAAGAAAGTATCTGGGTGCTGGGACCTACCTCTTCCAGACGGGGATTAATGGTTTGAACAAAAGAAAGGGAGGGAGGAAGGGGAGAAAAATAAATTATTCTTCTCAATACTGTTTGGCATAATTGCATTGTTTTTCAGCTTCTCATCACAGCAGCTTCTTGAGAGAGCGGAGATGAGACAGGCAAGAACAGAACGGCTGGTGCCTCAGCTGCAAGATGGGTAGCGCCCTGAGAGGTTCTCCTGTAGCCTCACTCAGCGTAGCCCCCTTTACTCCACCCCTGTAGCCCCCTTTACTCCACCCCTGCTTTTGGAACTGGGAAGGAACAGATTCAAGAAAAGTTCTCCATGTATTAGTTTTGAGGGGTACTTGCTGACTCATCCCCACCCTCTAATACTATCCCTTGGGGGTGACTGTCCCCCAACCAGGAGGCTGCTTGGTAATGTCAACTTATTAAGAATGGAAAATATTTATGTGGACATTGCAGGGAAGGGGGAGTACTTTCCATGGCCTGAGACATTCCCTGAAGCCCACTGAATCTCAACCTTGACTTGGGGTCGAGTCATGCAAGTAGCTTCCAGTTGTAGCCCCTGACTCTTTACTCACCAGCCCTTTAGGAGCTGGGAAGTGGGTTAGATCGGGCGAGTAAGCAGGTTAGGGTGTGGACAGGAGGAGGCATGCATGGCAGCCACCAATCCGCTCCTCCCCAGCAAAGCTCCAGGCCATCTGCAAGGCCTGCAAAGAATTGTCAAGCAATCTTGGTTGGGCAGCCATCCCTGGCAGCTTCAGGGTAACTAAAGTATGAGCCCAAAGCAATTCCTACCCCCAAGCAAGAGGCTGCCTGCTCCTCTTTGGGGTAACAATGAAAGAAAAAGGTACATGCACAGGCAGCTGGGCTCTCCTCTCCAGCCTGGTGTCCACTGCGCTGCTCTCGCCTTAGGACTAAAGGACTAAAGACATAAGGGGTGTGTGTGTGTGTGTGTGTGTGTGTGTGTGTGTGTGTGTGTGTGTGTGTGTGTGTGTGTGTGTGTGTGTGTGTGTCTGTGTCTGTGTCTGTGTGTGTTGGGGGGTGTGTGTGTGGGTGTGAGCAGCAGGGTCCCGGCCGTGCTCCTTAGGACTAAAGACATAAGGGGTGTGTGTGTGTGTGTGTGTGTGTGTGTGTGTGAGCAGCAGGGTCCCGGCCGTGTCATTTTGTCTCCAGATCAACAGGTGAGCTGCCAGATCAACAAGTGAGCTGGAGAGAAAGCCCAGGGCCAAAGGTCAGACGCTGAGAAGGTGGGGGGGGGACGACGACAGAAGTGAGGGCACACGTGAGAGAAGCACCTTGCATGTGACCCGGTGGAGCTTCCTACCCCTTGCTGACACTAGTTAAGGAGTGAAGCCCTAGGGAGGTCCACCCTGATGGGAGTGAATCTAATCCCCTACTACCTGGTGAGCCACGGAATGCCCTGGAGAGGGTCTCACCGCGACCATATTTCTTTGGCGGGCTTCACTCTCCCATCCGGGCCTAAGCTGGAAATGAGCAGTCCAAGGCACTCCTGCCCAGGCCCAGCACTGGCCTTGTAAAAGGTGGAAAAGAAACTCTGATCCAAAGCAGAGGAGGGGGAGGGGGGTCGAGGCCCCGCCGCCTCCCAAGGCCATGATTGGTGGAGACGGCGGCGCCGGAAGTTCTCCTTGAGTCGCATGATTGGCTGAGAAAGAAGCTCCGCCCAACGGCAACACTGATTGGTTGCGGGGGATGGTGCAGAGTCTGATTGGTGGGCGGCAGCCTGTGCTCGCCGGACCGAGGTTTGACTGGTCCTGATGTCGCCGTGGGCAGCTCAGTTCCCTCGGTAGACCTCGATCTTACTGGCCTTGGCCAGCATGTCAATGATGTGGGCTTCGAAGTCGGCGTCGTGCACGCCCGTCTTCCGGAACTCGCCCGCATACCGGTTGTTCTCCCAGTAGTGGTGCCAGTTGCCTCGGCTGTCAGCCCCGAACCCATACACGTTCACCTGTGGGAGGGTGGCGCAGGGGTCACTGGGAGACGGGGACCGTGGCGGGAGTGGGGGGGTGGGGGGGACACCCAAGCCAGGCCTAAGGACACTGACTCAGAGGGGACCGCTGCCTCTTCTTTCTCATTCATTTTTTGCTTTTCTGACCTCAAACGGCTCCTACCTCTGCTTCTTCACAGCTGGGATTACAGGTGCCAACCATGACCCAGCTATAAATTTAACTTTTTAATGAAGTAATTTTATTATTTGTTTAGGTTTTTCGAGACAGGTTTTCTCTGTGTTGTCCTGGCTGTCCTGGAATTCACTCTGTAGACCAGGCTGGCATCAAACTCACAAGATCTGCCTGCCTCTGCCTCCTGAGTGCTGGGATTAAAGGGGAGTGTCACCACGCCCGGCTAAGTAATTTTATTAAAGTCAAAAAGGTAATAAAGATTGGGAACTGCAAATATACTGTTTAGAGTACAGATATGAGAAATCCTAATCCACGTCCCCAGGGCCATTGCTAAGATGGGAAAAGGGTATGTCCCTGTTTTCAGGTCTGCTGCTTCTTTAGACTGGCACCAACTACATACCTCATCACACACATGTAGTGCAAAGAAGAGCACCAGCATCCCTGTGGAAGGGTACCGTCCATGATGCTCTGTCCACCTGTCATGGATGTACTTGAAGAAGGCTGGATTGTAAATCTGGACCTGGGAGGAAAACAAGAGGCACATGAGGCATTTGGAGGCCTTAGAGACACAGGTCAGGCTCTGAGCTGCTTCTGGCATTTCCTCAGTAGTGCTACACATGGGTTTTCCTAGGTTCCTGCAGTCAGTGCTGGAGTCAGGCATGCCAGCAGATGCAGATTTGGATGGTCTTGGAAGGGCACTATGCCAGTGCTGAGCCATAGGACTAGGCACACCTTGAGTGAGCCAGCATCATTCCATAGTGGTGGGGGGTGGGGGTCAAGAGGAAGAGGTAGGGAACTTACCTTTTCTTTGTCCACCCGAAGAAAGGATTTCACTGGAGCGTAGGTGCTGCAAGAAGACACAAAACAACCCTTTCAGATGGCTCTCCAGCACCCAGCAACACCTCTTCTGCTCCTTAAGACCAAATGGTGACAGCCTCACAATTTCTAGACTGATCTCTTTCCACTGCATGTTCATCACTGCAGGAGCTTCATCAGAAACCTTCAGCGGCTTTTAGGATAAAACTGGGATTGTCTAGTCAAGTCTAGGGATCTCCAGTCTCAATCTTTCTCCCCTAAGTTGTTTGCTGGGGACCGCTACACTTGGATTACCTAATCATCCCAAACTCACCATGGGTCCTGACTCATTTTTCATGTCAGCTGACACAAGCTAGAGGCATCTGAGAGGAGGAATCTAAACTGAGAAGATGTCTGTGTAGGATTAGGCTATAGGGCAGGCTGGAGAGATGGCTCAGAGGTTAAGAGCACTGCTTGCTCTTCCAAAGGTCCTGAGTTCAATTCCCAGTAACCATATGGCTCATAGCCATTGGTAATGAAATCTGGTGCTCTCTCTGACCTGCACAGACACATGCAGACAGAACACTGTATACATAATAAATAAATAAATAAATCTTTAAAAAAAAAAAAAAAGATTAGGCTATAGGGCATTTTCTCAATTAGTGATCGGTGTAAGAGGGCCCAGCCCATTGTGGGTGATGCCACCCCTGGGCTGGTGGTCCTAGGTTCTATAAGAAACCCCAGCACTTGTGAGTTTGAGGCCAGCCTGGCCTACAGAGTGAGTTCCAGGACAACCAGGGCTACACAGAGAAACCCTGTTTCAGAAAACAAACAAATGAAGGAAGAAAGAAAGCAGGCTGAGCAAGCCATAGGAGCAGGTCAGTAAGCCGCATTTTTCCAGTCTTTGCTTCAGCTCCTGCCTCCAGGTTCCTGCCCTGTGTGAGTTCCTGTCCTGCCTTCCTTCAGTGATGAACGGTGATGTGGAAGTGGAAGCCAAACAAACCCTTTCCTCCCCAAGTTGCTTTGGTCACGGTGTTTCATCACAGCAGTAGTCACCCTAGCTAGAACACCATGTTTATGCAAGTGACCTCTGTCTAGAGTGACTTTCTCTGCTGCCCTCAGGCTTGCGCCAAACCCGGTTTCCTGCTTGGCTGGCCTGGCTCCTGTAACTGACACCTCCACTGAGTACCCAGGCACTTCAGCACTACGGCCCTCCGTTCCCCCCAGATGAAACAATGGACATCCTGGAGTGAGAGACTCGCTAATTTTTTTTTTTCTCTCTTTGTTTGTTTTTCGAAACAGGGCTGTTACACAGAGAAACCCTGTCTTAGAGTTGTACTCGCAGCCTTCTTACTATTTTTAAAAAAGATTTTTTTTTTTTAGATTTATTTTATTGTGTATACAGTGTTCTGCCTGCATGTATGCCTGCAGGCCAGAAGAGGGCACCAGATCTCATTACAGATGGTTTGTGAGCCACCAGGTGGTTGCTGGGAATTGAACTCAAGTTCTCTGGAAGAGCAGTCAGTGCTCTTAACTGCTGAGCCATCTCTCCAGCCCGATTTAGTTTTATTTTTAATGTGTATGTCTACATGTATGTATGTACACCACATGTATGCCTGGCACCTTGGAGGACAGAAGAGGGTGTTGGGTCCCCTGGAACTGAAGTTATGGGGGGTTGTGAGCCACAATGTGGGTGCTGGGAACTGAACCTGGATCCTCTGCAAAAGCAGCAGCTGGGTTTTTTGTTTTGTTTTGTTTTTTGTTTTTTTGAGACAGGGTTTCTCTATGTAACAGCCCTGAACTCACAGAGATCCTCCTGCCTCTGCCTCTGAGTGCTGGGATTAAAGGCGTGTGCCTCTCTTAAAAAAAAAAAGCCTCATGTATCAAACTCACTATGTAGCTGAGGATGACCTTGAACTTCTGATTCTCTTGCCTCTACCTTAAGAATGTTGTTTTTGGATTTTTTTGTTTGTTTGTTTGTTTGTTTGTTTTGTTTTTCTTCCAGAGCTGAGGACAGAACCCAGGGCCTTGTGCTTGCTAGGCAAGCGTTCTACCACTGAGCTAAATCCCCAGCCCCTACCTTCAGAATGTTACAGATATATGCTACCATATCAGGGGTTTAAACCATGATAGGGATTAAACCACAGGGCACTAAACATGCTAGAAAAGCACTCAGCCAACTAAGTTACAGCCACAGCCTAGAAACTATAACTTAGATTACCATTTTGTGTGTGTGTGTGTTAAGAAAATACATAGGGGGCTGGAGAGATGGCTCAGAGGTTAAGAGCACCGACTGCTCTTCCAGAGGTCCTGAGTTCAATTCCCGACAACCACCTGGTGGCTCACAGTGAGATCTGGTGTGCAGCACACCTGCAGGCAGAACACTGTGTACATAATAAATAAACTTAAAAAAGAAAAAAGAGCCGGGCAGTGGTGGCGCACGCCTTTAATCCCAGCACTCGGGAGGCAGAGGCAGGC